GGTGTGTGTGTGTGTGTGTGTGTGTGTGTGTATGTGGTGTGTGTGTTTGTGTGTGTGTGTGGTGTGTATGGGTGTGTGTGTGGGTGGTGTGTGTGGTGTGGGTGTGTGTAGGTTGTGTGTGGGGTGTGCGTGTGTCTGTGTGTGTGTGGGTGTGTATAGGTTGTGTGTGTGGTGTGTGTGTGGTGTGTGTGTGTAGGTGTGTGTGCGTGCGTGGCTGTGTGTCTGTGTGTGGTGTGTGTGTATGTGTGTGTGTGGTGTGTGTGTGGGTTTGTGTGTGTGTGTGTGTGTGTGTGTGTATGTGTGTGTGTGGTGTGTGTGGGGGGTGTGTGTGTGTGTATGTGTGTGTGTGTGTGCATGTGTGTGTGGGGGGGGTGTGTGTGTGGGGTGCGTGTGTGTGTGTGTGTGTGGTGTGTGTGTGTGGTGTGTGTCTGTGTGTGTGTGTGTCCACTCAGGAGCATATTTACACTTTTCTCTCTGGTCTGGTTTTCAGCAGGATGCTGACGGAGCATCGCTGATCTGGGGACACAGCATTTCATCTGTAAACATGTCTGAATGTGTCTCCTTAGATGTACTCACAATCTGAAAATGAGAAAGGCCTGCAATCGCAAGAGAAACTTTCCTTTTCTCCAGCATTGCTCGGTCTTGCTCTAGGTTTTTGAGGAATCTGCCACCCTTGTTGGACAGAACAATGTCAAGGAACTCCAGAAGGAGATTGAGAAGGCTGCTTCCCGGTTTCTAGGCCTTGATGCTTTCTTGTCTGCCTCAGGAGTTCAATACCGCTGTGAGGGCTCTCCGGATAGGCCACGGAAGAGCCAGGTCCAGAAGAGAAGTCCCGTGGAGAGCACTCAGCCCAGCCTACCTCTCTTCACTGGATGAGCGGATCTCTTCTCTGTAGGCGAAAACCTGTAGCAGGGGCCAGTGCCCCAGGCTGCTCTGAGCATGCTCTCCTTCAAAGCTGCCAGGGTCTCAGAGGCTGGATGACCAGGTCCCTGTGCTCTGCCCCGCTATCCTGCTCGGGAGCACCACTCTTTGCCCTCCGTTGGCAGCCAGCTCTGGCAGCTGAACTGCCAGGCTCACCTCCCTGTCCCCCAGCCCTTTGCTGCTGAGCAAGGCTGGGCTGCCGCAGCCTTTGTGCTCACGCCATCCACTCATTACCTGCTGTCTCCCCACCTGAGCAGGCCCTCCACCTGCCCAGGATGAATCTTTCCATCACTCACTCTGAGAGGCCTCTAGGCCAAACAGCCCTGCCTGCTATCAGCCCTGGCCAGTGGGCAGCCTGCTCCAGGAGACATCTTAAGGCAGACACAGAAATGCCCAACCAAAACAACTGGCCAGAAATCTGGCTCGGGCTATCTTCATGCAAAAGAGACACTAAATGAACTAGAATGGGTGGATGAAAGCCTCTCTCATCTTAAAATGTCACCTCCTTTTACCAGGTCACCAACACATCCACTAATTGCAATTCCCACTTCTTCCTGTTGGAGTCTTTCAAGAGCTCTTCCAGAAGATAGGTCCGCTTGCCTCCCTCCATTTGCTCCCCTCTATTATGCAATGCCCCACCCTCTTTCTAAAATGCAAATCCCATCATGTCACTCCCTTCCTCAAAAGCCATCAGTGGCTCCCCATTGCCTCTAACTGAAGTTCTAAATTTCAAATCCTTGTTCAGGCCCTTCATGGTCTCTCCCACTGCCTTTCCTAGCCTGTATTCCCACTACAGGCTTACTTTCAGCATGCGTTTACCCACTCCTCAGACACACAAAGCAAGCACGTTCTGCCTTCTTTGACATTGTACTTTTCTTTCTTTTACCTGGAGTAATACCCTTCCTTTCCCATTTGCTCGATCTTGAAACCTTACTGGTCCTTCAAGACCACACTTCAAATGGCTCTTCCTTTTCAGAACCTCCTAGCTCAAGTGACTCTCTCTGTCCCATAGCACTTCATCCCAATGATATAGCCAAGTGCTGGAGTTGATTGAATGCACATTTGTCTTCCCCAATAGTAAAAGCTCCTTGAAGTCAGGAAAGATGTGTTATTAATCACTGTGGTCAGCACCCCCCATCCTGCATCCCATTGCTAGACATAGGCTAGGGACTAGATAAATTATGAAATTGAAGGGTTTTGTACAAGCTCTTTTAGGAACCAAGAAGGCTGTCAGATGGGGGTGTGGGCTCAGTGACTGCCAGAAATCCAGGCAAATAGGAGTGTTGCAGAGCAGTCAGCCTGGAGAACAACCAGGAAAGATGCTGAGATTTCCTGGAGGCATGCTCCAGTGGTTGGGAAGCCCAATGCTCATGATGACATGCTATTTTCCCATCAGTCAGAACTAGGCGGCTTCTTTCCTTCCTCAGCCTCTTCCTCTTCTCTCCAGCTCCCATCTCTGGCTGTTCTCCAGGGGAAATGTATATCTCTAATGGTGGAATAATTAGCTCCCAAACCTGGCATGCATTAACATTGAATTGATGATGTCAGTTAATAAGAGAGGGAGCAGGAGGGCTTGGGAATTATAGCAAATCTAACTGTATTTCTTTTTCTGGGGCCTGGCTTGAGCTGATTGGCTTCCAAACCCTGAGAAAGTCTTTGTGGGTGTTTTCACTCCCAGGTAAAAGACATCGTTGCAGGGTTTCCCACGTTCCATGTCCAACATCGGTCATCATTTCAGTCAAATATTCCCCAAACCCCAAGTAAATGAAACAGTATATTTCTTCCCACAATTATATTCTTACCTGTGGACCTCCAGGTGCTCTGGTGACAGTGAGATACCCTGTTAATATGTTACCCTGACTTACTAATGGTGTACACCTGGACTAGCTACTTGGCTGATTTGAGTCTCTGTTTTCTTAACTGTAACATGGAGCTAATTATAGTATCTACTTTATAGGGCAATTGTATGAATCAAATAACCTACTCTATACAGATGTTCAGGCTATAACATGAGCTGTTATGATTATTACTTAATCCGGGTGAGCACCATGACACTGCATGTTCTCCAGGCCTCAGTTTCCCTTGCTTGAAAATAGGGAGTGGGACTCAGTCATTAGTAAATCTCACCTGGAATGTTAAGATGGGACTGTTCTTAGTTTTCCCACCATCCTGTCTATGTACCCAATCATCCTGCTATTTCTTATCACCTAAAATCTTGCTGGATTTGTTCCATTCAGTGATGTAAAAATTTTTTTAAATGTCTCCAAGAGCAGTCCTAGTAATTTGACGATGGAGAGAAGTGATTTCCCTTAAGAGCTCCAATTAAAGCTGCTTTCTGCAGTCTGGGAAAGCTACTGCATCATCACCAGCTCCTTCCAAGATGGTTTTTGTCTCTGGCAATCAACCGTGTCAGTTCACATTATAATCCTTACATCAGCATAGTATTTTACAGTTTAGAGGGCTTTTCAATCTCTATGGTCTCAATTCACCCTACCAATAATCCCGTGGCAGAGCTGGTGTAAATAATATCACTCCCGTCTGATGGATGGGAATGTTTATTCATCCCTCTGCTCATTCATTCCATGAACGTTTATGGAACGTGTTTTGTACTAGATGCTGCAGCTCAGATGCTTGGCATATGTGGCTGTGGTGTTACTCCTATAAGTAAGGGGTAACTCTGGGTCAGGGTTCAAGGCCTCTTCGTGCTGGATTCAGTGTATCTGCACCCCCAACCCTGCTCTCTTGCAGTCTGCACCAGTTACTACCCCTGAATCCTGATACTGAAGACTGCATCCAAGGGAGCGTTTCGGCTGAGGCACACCCTTGGGTTCCTCTGCTCAACCATAGCCACCTGCTGACCTGCTATTCACCCTTCAGCCCTAGCTCCTCTTCTGTGAACCCTCCCCCCACCTTGCCCTTCTGTCCCCCTCCCTCGTTTGTGCCTGTGGATCCAGCCCCACTATCACATTTATCCCATAATGTTGTAATAGTTTATGTACCTTCCTGCATGTCTGTACCTGTTCTTCCACCCCTCCACATACATCCCACCTGTATACAAAGCCACCAGACTGGAAATTCGGGCCCCCATATGATCCCTGTGTCCCCAGAGTCAAGCCCAGCGCCCAGCATGGGCTCAGTAGATGTTGAATGGACAGAGTCATTTTGAGTTGGGCCTTCCTCCCTGAATAATGTTTGGTATCTCATACCCTCTGGGTGTGGATGAATGAGAAAGGGGGCAGGGAGAGGACGTGGGGAGGAGAGAGAGTTATGAAAAACGGAAGCTGGAGACCTCACCTGGTACCTCTCTGCTTCTCACGGCAGATCGTTTTAATACGGGATGCCTCTTGTTGATAGATGTTCAATAGCTGTAAAAGGCTTGTGCATAAGAAACCTCCTCCCATTCCACCCTTACTCATCTCCCACAGACCCTGGGTCAGGAAATTAGAAAGACAAAAAGCAGCCGGGTGACTTGCTTAGAGGAAATGAAAAGGAATTCATGCTGACTGTAGCTCAAGTGCCTCGGCTGCATTGTTACTAGGTAGTATCCCCACGGAAGGAGAGCCAGTGGTCCCAAAGTTCAGATAACTTGCCCACGTTCACACTGCTGGTGGAGGTGAAATCTGACCCAAGATCCCCTGGCCCTTGTTGAGGCCCCTGCTTTTTCTCCACCGCACACCGCAAAAGAGTGTGGAGAAAGATCTAGAGGGAGTCTGGGGTAGCCCCATGAGGAAGTGAGATGAGGGAGCTGAAGGCGCAGGCACTCAGGAGCACTGTCAATGACCCCAGGCTCCATCTGTACCAGGCAGAAGGGTCTCAGAGTAAAAAAAAGAAAAAACCCAAAAGTACATGATGACACGTGTTAGAGCACAGTAAGGAAGAGTTTCTTCAGGACCATTGCAACAGGTAGAAGAATTACAGCAATGGGGTTTTGCAGTGTGGGTTCTGCAAAAGAGACTGGGTCCAATCTGAATACATCATGGGAAAGTAAGAGTTTATATAGCGAGGGAGCAGGGTGGGGGTCAGTGGATAGAAAATGACTAAGAGGCTTCCACCATGGCCGCCACTGGAGAGTGGCAGCCATGGCTCTGCACTGCCCTGTGGCTGTGGGCTTCAACAAGGGCCACAAGGTGACCAAGAACACGAGCAAGCTTAGGGACAGCCGCAGCCGCAGGCGTTTGACCAAACACCAAGTTCGTGTGGGACACGATCCAAGAGGTGTGTGGCTTCGCCCTGAACAAGCTGTGCGCCATGGAGTTACTGAAGGTCTCCAAGGACAAACAGGCCCTCAAGTTCATCAAGAAAAGGGTGGGGACACACATCTGTGCCAAGAGGAAGTGGGAGGAGCTGAGCAACATCCTGGCCACCATGAGGAAATCTGCTGCTAAGAAAGACTGAGCCCCTCCCCTGCCCTCTCCCTCAAAGAAAGAACAGCTTGATAGAAGAAAAGAAAATGACTAAGAGGAGCTATCAGGAGTGAGGAGGATTCCGGCTAAACCCACCTAAAAGATTTTTGTTGAAGGCGGGCCTGGGCGATCAGACCTCACCTAGGGGAGGGCGGAAGGTGCCGGAAGCTGAGCAGATATCAAAGGTATGGGGGGAGGGGGTCTTGCTAAAACTGGATTTTACAAGAAAATTCATAGATGGACCTAGGAGAAGGTCCAGGAGCCTGGCAAAGGTTTGATCAAGCAAAGAATTTTTGTCATTGGATACAAATTAGACAGGTCAGGAGGTGGCAAAGAGTGACTTCTGGAAAAGGTTGTGTTGACCCTGAGGAGTGGTAGAGGTCTCTGCAGGTAGCCTCTGCCTAGTGTTTGTCTGTGGTTACCTTACCTACAAAACATCCCTGAGCTCAAGAAGATGGGCCAGGAGCTGAAACAGTCAGGGCCATTTATCTTGAAGGGACCACCAAGGAGGAGCAGATGGGAACCAGTGACAATCCCCTGAAGGGTCCCTGAAGCCAGAGCCCCACAGCTCTTGTGAGGGAGAGAGTTGCTCTGCTGGGGTGTGTGTGTGTGTGTGTGTGTGTGTGTGTGTGTGTACACATGTGTGAAGGTGGAGGTTGTCTGACTCTCAGGAGTGTAAACTGAGCCCTGTTCAGTGTGATTCCCTGGGATGTTGTCCCTGGCATCACCGACAGTGCCATCTGCAGTAAATCTCCCTCCACCTCAGCTGGCTCTTGCCCTATATGACCATTTAGGTCATGCCCCCCAACCCCTACAGAGGCCCCTGCCAGACCAGCTCTCAGGCAAAGCAATTAACTCATTTTTCCAGACAATGACTCATGAGAAAATATCTCTGATTCGTGGGAACATGATGGATCTGGGAGCTGGCAAATGGCCACAGGGGAGGGGCAGCCACCTGAGCACAGAGTGCCAGCTCCCTCCCAGCTATAATTTTGCTCAGCAGTAATTCCCATGTAGAGGCTCAGGCTGAGCTTTAGCTGTTCTCCCCAGCCTCTACCAGGATGACCCCAGCACCATGGGCCCTGATAGAAAGACCTGGAGCCAGGTCCTTGAAGGACTCAGGGACTGAGACCAGAATGAAGCAGAGGCCCTGCCCGTGACTTGCCTCCTGAGATAGTGTTGACATTGTTCTGTACTTGCACTCCACAGTGACTTGTCCCTTCTAGCTAGTGAGATCATGGTGTGTGTAGGACTCTTTAGAGATTATGAACTGCCTCGTTCAACCATAATTTACAGGCTGGGGCAATACTTGAATTATATGTGGTTTCTTCACTCATTAATTCAACATTTGCTAGGACCCGCTCAGGGCTAAGTTTTGTGCTAAGTCCTGAGGACTCAAAGATCTGTAAGACATGGTGTATAAGATCCCTCTGGAGGGGTTCACAGTCAACTGGAGGAGAGAAAGTCGTAAATAAGCAACCCACGATATAGGGTGGGAAGTGCCATTATAGAGAAAGGGTCCCGAGGAGGTGGGAGAAGAGAGGCAGGAGGGCGTGACTTCCTGGGACTCTGAACGGACTCAGCAGGGAGGCAACGCGGGAACTCGTTCTTGAGGATGAGCAGCTGGGCGCTTCTAGGTAGAGGGGGCAGTCCGTGCGAAGGCCAGAGGTTGTGAGGGGGAGAATGAGTCTTAGAAAGACATCGTCGTAGGGGACATAAAGAGGAGTATCAAGAGGTGGGCCTGTGAGCCATTAGGAGAAGCCAACAAGTTTGGACATCATCACATAGACAATGGAGAGCCAACAGAAGATTTAATTGGGAAGCTGCTCACTGGGCATATATAGCATGGGAACAGGGCTCATCTGCTGGAGAAGAGCTCCAGTGCGAGGTCATGCGGTCGGTGTCTGGAGAGGCAGTGAGATGTAAGTGGAGAAACCTTCTTGATGGGGCTGCTGACCAACTGTGCTGCCCGCCTTGCTAATTATCACTGCAGACCTGGTAAGAAAGGAGAGACGACTCCGCAAACTTCAGTCCTTATAGCTGACTGGAAGAGCAGTGCAGAACGTTCATCTCGTCCCATCAAGAGCAGCGCAGTCATTCACGGTAGATCGTGCTCCAGCCAACATATAAATGTGGACACAAACTCATGGAAGTTCAGAGCAGGAAGGTTCTTACACCATCTTTTCATCAAGTTTTGTTTTTCCCTTGAGTTCTGAGACTAATAACCCTCCTCCTTTCCCCCTTTTCTAATGATCAAAGACCTTCCTTTATTTTAAAGATGGGAAAACTGAGATCCTGAAAAGGTACACGAATTGCCCCAGATCCCAGTTGTGGTCAGCGGCAGCTTTAGAACTACTGAAGACACACGTGGGCCTATGACTCTTTCCGATTATGAAACGACACCTCTGCGAAGCACCTATATGTGGGGATAGACTGATACGATTGCTTAGGAAACTTACGGAGGAAAACAAAAAACCACTCTCTTCTTCTTGAATTATCTCCATTCCCAGACCACAGGTTATTGATTTGTCAGTCATGTTTTCTCAGTTTCTGCAAGATTGACCTTCGCATCCCGGGAAGAGACAACAGAGTAGTGAGAGGAGTGGACAAAACACCTCCCCTCTTTCATTGCTCCCTGTTCCATTCAGGGAGCCTGCATGACTCCAAACTTCCCATCTTTAAAATAAAGGAAGGTCCAAAAGTAGCCTATGCCCTCTGAGCATCTTAACAGAGGTTTCAGTAGAGGATACTATACTAAATAATGCAGCCCCTCCTTCTTTCTTCCATGCCAGAGAAGTTTACAAAACAAGAAGGAAGCCTTCCTACCCGTCATAGCCAGGAGTCTCTGTTCTGGCTCTCGGCTGCTGCCTTAGGGTAAATCTGTTGCTATGGTCACTAGGATGGCTCTGCAGGTATGTATTTTACATGTAACTGACTAGGAGGGATGAATTCAAAATTTTCTTTCACTCCAATCTAGGGCTGCTATGTTTAGCAAATAAAAACACAGGAAATCCAGTTAAATTTGAACTTAAGATAAACAATGAATACTTTGTTAATATGAGTATGTCCTAAATATTGTATCATTTGGTGTTTATCTGAAACTTAAATTTAACTGGGCATCCTGGTATTTTATGTGACAACTATTCCCCTAATATAAGGAAAATGGCCCGTATCCATTTTCTCTGCCTAGAGAGCAATTGCTTATACTTGTCTTTGCTGCGATGCTCTGCTTGGAACTTGTTAAAATAATTGGTCAAAATACACATGTGCCAGGGGAGTTCAGATGCCTGCATTTCTAGAATAGTGTGAGAAATGGAATCCAAATAGCAATACTTCTGATGTTGAATCATCAGCAGTGTCTATGTGCCTGCTGCCAGTTCCTTCTCTGACTGGACCGGAAGGTTAGATGAATGAAAAACAATAGCCAACCACTGACTTCTACCAGAGCCCAAGCCATTAAGCACCTTTGCTTTTCAATGGGCTTTTTGGTGTTGGTAACCATTATGGTTAATGTGTAATTAGACCATGGAAAATACCTGCTTGAGGCCACGGCTTGTCCCTGCTCTTTAAACCGTGTCTTTACTGATTGAACCATTAATAATCCGCTCATACCGGAGAGAAGAGTCATTCCTCCCCACCTCAGTCATTTAGAAGTAATGTAACCCTTTAAAAGTCACAGAGTAAAATTCACACTCAGGGAAGGGAAAAAAAATTGTCTGTGGACATTACGCAAGAGGATGGCAAAAGTGTTTCTGGAATGCCCTAAACTCTAATTGAGGTGGCCTGGGCAATGTCGTGGCAGAGAGAAGTTGTAACTAAGACTGACACGTCTTTAGCAGAATTGCATGGTCTCTGAAAAACAGCAGAGTTTGCTGGTGGGAATCGTCAGCCTGGAGCCTTGAGATAGGAAACTCACAGAACAGGAATTTGGTAGTGTTTTTCCAGGGCCTTGCAAGGGAAAGAGGCTGGAATCTTTCAGAAATGTTTTAAGACATTGGAAAGGTTGTCACTGATGGAGAAAGGGTAGTTCATGAGACCTCAGCACAGGTCTGAGTGACAGCCCCTCTATGCCTCCACCAACCTCCTTTTCCTTGGCTTTTATTTCAGCTCAAGAAGCGATGTTCTTTTAATACTTTAGCTTCCCTTTTGAATTTGTTTATGGGGTTACCAGCACTGACGGTGTAGCATAACCCTCCCTCCCTCCCTCCCTCCCTCCCTTCCTTCCTTCCTTTTTCTCTTTTTCTTCCTCCTTCCCCTGCTTCTTGTTCTTTTCCTTTTGTTGTATTCTCAGAATACATTAGTCAAGCGGAGTTAATTCTGATTTGTACAAGAGCCTCTTGTGACTTGGTTGTATGAGCCGGTTCCCTCTAAGGCTGGGTAACTTTCAGAGCGATGGCAAAATCGAACTTCTGGGTTTCACATGCTGGAGGCCAGGTCCTGAACACAGTAGCCACACCTAGGCCTTCTGTTTGGCCTGGCAACACCTTTGCGCTCTCTAGAACTTGGTTAAGAGAACGGATGAGTCGACTCCGCAGTTTTGTGTTTTATAACCGATGCTGTTTCGTTCCACTTTATGTGAACTCTTATAGAATTACACAAAGATCTTCTGTGAAGAGAGGTATGAACAAGCAAATGGATGCATCAGTGAACACCAGGTGGATCCCACCCAGATGTGGTGGATCATACTCAGTTAAATATTATTCTAAAAATAAAAAAACTCAGCCCTCCTAGGTGAACTGAGGCAAGCGGGTGCTGTGTCTCTGTGGTGGGTGATTCTGGGACCCCAGCACCACAGATTCGGCACTCCAGTTTGCCTGCTGGATGTTCCCTTCTCTCAGACATCTGAAAAATGGGCCCCACAGCCTTTACATTAAACAGCTATTCACTGCCAGGCTTTTCTTGGCAAGATGCCAACTGGCCAAACTGTGTGGCTGTAGAAAAGGGGAGTAGCTGTTTGCAATGATAAGTGCTTATGGTGGAGGTACACCTTTTAATCACCTTATACATCGTATATGATCTGTGAGGAAGATGTGTGCAG